CTCTTGTTGTTTTTTATGTTAAATTAAAAAAAAAAGTTCCTTTTTTAAAACCAAAAACTTAAAAAACTGAAATTTTTTTTTTTTTTTTTTTTTTTTTTTTAGATGTAATTCAGTTTTTTTTTCCCATAGTCAGTTTTCATTTTCCTATATTTATCCACATCTGGAAAATAATAATAATATAAAAAAACTAATTCTGTACTTTTTCTTTTTGACTTTTCCAGACTGTGTAGGAACATTTTTGGTAGCTCAGGGTCATACTGAGTCTACACGTGTTTTGGCAGATGGGTTGAATTTGTAGCAAAGTCAGGCAGATTATCATCATTCTCCAGTTTATCCACCCAAACATCCCAAATTAACGAGAGTATGCCAAGGTATTCTGTCAATAAAGAAAAAATGCACTTAAGTCTTTCCATACACTCAGTTCATCTAGTAAGCAATTAATAGTAACATTTACAAGCTTTTACAGCATGCAAATGTCCTATCTTTTTTTAAATATTTAGCCTATACCTCAAATTCTCTAATATGGAGTGATTTCAAAAGTTCACATTTAGTTTCTTTAAATCATCACAAACAAGCCCTTTTATGTCAGATTTTATTTAAAAGCTGGCTGTCCGAACTACCTGAGCTGGCTCTTTTCAGTTCAAATTGATTTTGACATTCTGCAGAATCACAAGGCTTTCGCTTCTGTAGAAAATAAATCTGAACTTCACCTTATGTACCGTAATATATAGCTCCATATTTCTTTTTAAATTGCTTTGTGGCACACTGACAAATGGTGGATGAAATGGATCTTCTCAAGAAAGAAAGCTATGAAAGCATGTTTTCATGAGCTGGGCTGCATATTTCTGCAGAGACAGAATACATGGACAAACATGCTTTATGGACAAACATGAAACCTGGATTTGGAAAAACAAACCCCTGCGTTTGATGGGTTCATAGATTACACAGCATCAAGAAAGCTTCTGTTTGACACGGCATCTTTGTTTTTCCACTTGTATCAACTTGTGGTGAAGTTTTCATCAGAAATCCTTTGCCAGGGCAACATTTAGCTGAGATTTTGCAATATGCTTGTCATTCTCAAACTACAGTTCTGAAGATTAGACAAATAATTATGGATAATTGTCTGTTGAGGGACATCGTTTTGGCATGTCTTCCAATTTCTTCATAAAGTTAGCTTTTACCCTATTTGATACAACAAACTAAAGTTAAACATATTGGTGCCAAAACGTTCTGTGCTGTTGTTTAGGGGTTATACTGATCATAAGTTTTACTGATAAAGTGGCATATTTCCTAAAATGATCAGATGACTACACGGCATTCATTCTTACCTTTAGGCCATCTCTCCCTGGTGCTCCTGGGGGGCCCTTTTAAGATATAAATAGAAACAGAAGATATATAAATATTATTTTAGGGATATTTGACCTCCCTCACTGGTTTCTGAAGTTGACTATAGCTCACTAATGTAGATGTAATATTGTCCTGCCAGAAAAAAAGAAGCACGCAATTTTTTGTTTTTGTTTGATAAATGGACACACTCTTAGTAACCACAAAAACTGCAAGCTTCAATTATGATCTACCAAGAGAGATTAACTGAGGGCCTCAGGTCTTCCTTGAGGGGCTTCAGATCAATGGTGAAGCTTGCTTTGATGTCTTTCTTGGAATAATTATCTTCAAAGACTTGTGAACATATTGTCCAGGGAGAGACGCCAATATTCAGACAATTACATAGCCTGAGAGTCACACATTAATCAAGGCTAAAATCCTTGCACGCAGTCAAACATATGTGACCTGATGGCCAAAACCTCATGAGAGCACAACGCCCTTTCAGCCTCACCTCACGAAAATGTGGACTGATTTAACTGCATAAACAGGCTAGGAATATGAAGAGCTGTGATGGAAACTCACATCTAACTATTACATAAACACATAATACTCATGCATGCAAAGCAAGAGATTGCGTTCCACCGTGAAAACACAGGGCCTGAGTTCATGATTTGGCTCTGTGCAGCTTGTTGTATGACTGATTGCGGGTGTTGATGTTGTGATTTCTAACGTGTCTGGGTGGCAATATCCTCAACATTCTTGATTCATATCCTCCACCTCAACACCAACGGTTTGCACTAGCAGGACATAGCGAGTGCTGCAAACAGAGCAAGCCAAAGAAAACATCTGAAGCTGTAAATGGATTTGGTGCACTCTGTTGTTATTACCATCACCATGTGTCATCCTTTCTGACCTAGCAGAAATGAGGGTCAAAAAAGAGGAGGTATTTTCTTTCTCTCCCTGCGCCTGACTCACAATGGAGGATTACTAAATTATTTCAATTTGTTAGTCTAGTAAAACGTCAGAAAAAAATATGTTTTACAGGCAAAAGCAGAAATTAATTTTTATTTTTTTTTAAGTATGCCTTGTATCTCATTGCACAGCTGTTCAGGCCAACAAAGAGAAACCTCTCACCTCTCATGGTGATGGTCTTTTACAGAAGAAGAGGGATTCTCCATCTACATAAGTCACCTTGCAGTTATTGAGGAAAAAAATAAAATACACTAGCCATAATTTAATGAAAATATTTGTAAGGAGCTTTAACTTGTAGGTTTGTGCCAGAATATCCACAAGTGTTAAAAAGCACTCAGATAATTCTTTCAAAATAAGTACTTTCCATCAGTGTGGTCCCTGCAGCGATCTGGAGCTGGAATCATAGTTTGACGTTTTTCCTCTGTATTAAACTAATCTATTTTGGGGCTCTACTCAATGTTGCATCCAAGCAACATTGGATGCAATTTGCCATATAATTAGGACTTATATTGGAACATAATTAGCTAACACTGATATTGCCATAATGATTTCTGTGTTAGTGCTGCTAAAGCATTAGCCTTTTGCTTGTGGGAGAAGTGATGAAAAGGTCTTGGAGACAATTCAGATTAAAACTGCCCAGTTAGTCAATAGTAATAAGGATGTCAATGTTTGCCAATTCTAATGGACTATTTGTATTATAATCCACTTGTACTATATTCCAAATAGCATGCAATAACCCTTTGCATGGAAATAATATATTTAACAACATGATGAAGGAAACAAATAGAAGATTTAGGAAAATATTAATTGCATTAATGCCTCGTCCAAATAGTCAGTAATAAAATCACATATTTATGTCTTTCCTGACCATGAGAAAGTGTGTCATGTATTTTAGCTTGATCTGACCCTTTGACCCTAATGCAATGAAGTAGCATAGCATGAACTCATTGTTGCTTCTATTTTAATTCCATGTAATATTTTTCACTCCAAAAGTATGACCTCAAAATGTACTTCTAGTTTTTAGGTACTAAAATTGAACAATTATCAGCAACAATAAGAAGTTTTTGGTTAGAAGTTGTGAAAGCCATTAAGCATTGTATGTATGTAGCCTTTATTTAGCCAAGTGTGTTTCATTGAGATTAAAAATCTACTTTTCAAGAGAGCTGACCACGACTGGCAACAATACTCAAATAATTAGCAGTAGCAATGTTTATCTGCTTCTTTTTTTAAAGCAGTTCTGCCTAAGATCCTGTATGTCAAGACAAAGTTCTGGTTGGTCTAGTGGGATTTTCAGACAGAGATATATTATATTGGAGTTTCAAAGATGCACTACTGACATGAATGAGTATATGAACTATCATACAACAGAGATAAAAGCAGAGCTATAACTGTGAAAAATGTGGACATACAGATTTACTCTAGATAAAAGAAAGCATATATAAACTGACCAGAGGTCCTCGAGGGCCACGTTTGATGTGGAACAGGTCTGGTGTTGGTCCAATTGGTCCCATCAAGCCCCTAGGACCAGGTGGACCAGGGGCCCCCGCCAATCCTGGAGGGCCGACTGGTCCTATATCTCCTAGAATAAAGTAGAGTTTGTAAACCATCCATTGTTTTGGATCCTTTCTATCAATGGCATGTAGAATATTTCCAACACTGGAAATGTCACTTTGTTGTAGACTAAAATCTGTCAGTCTTCTAGGGTATCATTTTCTTTTGTGGATCTAATCTTTTCAATCCCTCTAGGATTACTTCAAGGTCAAAGATATTTATGAACATCTTAATTTCTAGACTATGAATTTAGCTGACATGTTGACCTGCTGACATTTTCTCTACAGTCAACGTAGAGTTGACATTTCTGGTTTTGAAGACATGCTTTGACATCTATCATATGGTTCAGATACTCATGTTTTTTTTTGTTTTTTTTTAAACACTGTGATAACCTTTGTGATGAGGCTGGAGGTCGGGAGGAAGAGCAGTTGCCCTTCAATGTGAAAATCATTGGATGCTCCCTGACCCTTATCTGAACCCCACACTGCATGCAATTGTGATTTATCACTGGGAAAAAAGCATCTGCTACCACTTTCCTAAAAAGGTTGATTTTTGCTGCCACCGAGCCAAGGATCTAACTTGTCTAATATTTTAAGCAAACAACCAACATGTACAAGCTAAGCTAATAATTTTCCTCTGTTATATTTGACATCTGTTGATTTTGAATGTAGAACATCGCTTCTCTTTATTTTCACCTCATGGCGATCCTAGGTCAGAACAGACTGGTACAGAAATATTCATAATTTAATTCTGTCTGTTTTTTGTACACTTTATTTGACTGACACCATTGTGTCAGTCAAATAAACAGACATAATTAAATTAAAACAGAGTCCTTCTTTGCAACTTTTCTGAATGAGTTAGAGCATGGTAATGGATGTAAATGTGAAGAAAAACCTAGTAGGACATTCATCCAACCATCCATTTTCTACATTAATCCTCGCAGAGTAATGGCAAATAACCACACATTCACTCTTAACGTCACATAAGAGAAACAACTGGCCTAACAGTCATGTGTTTGGACCTTGGGAAGAAACTGGAGTACTCAGAGAAAACTGAAATGGGAAGAAGATTCAAGCTCCATGCAGAAAGATCCCAGGTCAGGATTTAAACGTAGGGCCTTCTTGCTTGGAGAGTTATAATTGAAGTTAGTTGGACACCTAATAAAATTAAGGCTGCACCGCCTTCAAGGTGCAGCTGCCAAAATGTTTTAAAATAATTTATGATGGATTGCTATCCTACAACAAAAACCTAGTCAAATTGAGCGGGATTTATAGATGTTAAAGAGCTACAGTATTAATGTGGAAAATGCTAAACTAAATGGATCAGCAAGTGGTCTGTTTATAACATAATCATGTCATAGACTATCTCAGTTGGACATTTATGTTAGGATTTGCAGAACAGATTAGTCTGACATGCTTGCATGGCTCCAAGTGATTTTTCTGAATGCAAAGTACTTTCCACATGTATTTGGATGCATTTGGACATTGAACACAAATTCATTCTTACCTGGAGGCCCTGGCGAACCTGGAGGTCCTGGTAAAAATACAGGTGATGTCATAATTTTCTCATTCATCATCTGCACAGGGACGTCAGCACTATTCGACAGCAAGGCCATCTTAGAAAAGAGGTGGTTAAAGAATAATAAAAATAAATGGTGGTAAGAATTGATTAGGGAGTATATGATACCTTGATGGGGTATTTGTTTCTTATATTAAGTGCATTTTGTCCTTAATTGTTTCATATTAAAGGTCTGTGCCCTCATAAATTACACACTGTAGACCTAACATCATGTAAAACTTTTGCTACAATTATAAACCCTGCCTAAAGATGAAAGTCGATCTTGTAGCTGCACCACATTAACAAACCATGACCAATACAGATGGAGGCAAAGCAACACATCTGCATTATGCAGCATGACCGGGACAGTCCCCGCTCTGTATTGTAAGCAGCATCCTTGGAAATGGTCGTCTTTGATCTGTGTAACATCTTGTAGACTTGGCAGTCCCAGTTGGGTAATAAGTAGAACATCTTGATATGCTGTAAGAGTTTATTTTAGGATTCAGAACTGCTGCTAAATTTTGAAGTTTGCTGTGAGTTTGCATTCAAATACAAACAGAAACAAAATTACAGACGTATCTTTATAGGGATATCTTTTTGAATTCACTTTATAGCATATCCCCTTCACTAGAAAGCATACTTAATCTAACCCTGCACCACACCTTTGCTTTAACTGGAACTCTGTAGAAAATTGTGTCACTACTGTGCATTCTGCTTTGGTAATTGCCGGCGACTCTAAATAAAATGACTGAAGTTCATTTTGATTAACATGGGTTACAGCTACAAACACAAAATCAGTTTCTCAGAAATATAAATTAAATCAATCTTGCATAAAGAAGCTGGCTGTTCACAAAGTCTTGATGTAAACATACTCATGGAGAGTTGAGTGGAAGGAAAAAGGATGGTGAAAAAAAAGACACAAGCTAAATCACTGAAATTAAAAACGTTTGGACTTTATTTTAACATATAGAAATAAACTTGCATTTGTTGCTCCCCACAAGGATACACACACAAAATGGGTGAAGTTGCGGCTTACTCGTTGAAATCAGATGACTTTGAAAGATGTGAGCGGACAAACTGATGTTTTAAAATGTGTATTCTAATGTCCCTGTAATTATTACCATATAATAATACCCTTCAGCTTTATGTTGTAAACTTACATAGTAATCAGCAAAGACAACATTTTTCATGATGTTTTCTTAATATATGCTGAACCGTATATACGCAGCACGGAAAGACCACACAGCTGGAAGCAATACATCACATGTTATAGTACTGAGTGTTGAACGCTGCTACTGACAGACACATCCTTAGAAAAGTTCAGACGTCTGTAGTATCACAGATGGACATGTTAACGCTACAGCTGACTTTTGTATCAACTTACACCCAACTCGTGTAGGAGCAATGCATCAGCCTGCTATTCGCCAAGGATTTTTTTAAAAGTGTTTTCTTTTTATTAGGTTATAAACTGCATTGATGGACCTCATGAGAGTTGTTAATATGTACCTGCAGTAATTTCTGCAATACTGTTGGGAGTATGCTACAGCTAAATCAAAATCCTTAACAGGTTTTTTTTTTTCTTCTGAGCTTTTTTGGCCACTAACTCTAAAGTGTATTGCAAAACATTTGCTGACGTAGTGGATGAAGAAAAAAAATAGACTTACATTTTTACTTTTGCCAGACAAATGTTTTTGTTCTCTTGTCCCATACCTTCTGCTTAAGCTGCAGCACAGCCATCTTGATCTGGAGGAAGTCTTCACATGTGGCAGAGCAAGTTCCAGCATTCATTAAATTATCACATTTCTCAAAGAGATGAACTGCTGGGAAATTGGAAAAAAAATAAAATAAAATACTTGAGTTACTTGGACATGGAAACACGGACATGGAAAAATCATATAATGTATAAAAAAACGTATAACAAAAAAACATTTCATAAAAATGTAGCCAGATGAGTTCACTCAAGAAGTTAAAAAATATCTAGAAACATCTGAATAAAGATGAAAAATTGCAGTCTTAAACTCTTACCCCCAGTTTTTTCACTGCTGCCACCTTCCTGAAACTCCAACCCCAACTGTAGCTACTCTACACTAAATCAAAATAAAAACTTCGACAGAAGAATGTTCACATATTAAAATTAACATTTCCATTTTGCGCAAGACAAGCATAGGCTGTTGCTTTCCGGGGTGCTTAAACATTGTTCATCTTAACTAACTGAGTTTGTCTGTACAACGGATGAGTGCCAATGTCTGAATGTGATTTCGCTCCCCTAAATTACGAAGCAGCAGGACACGAAGCGCGGTCATAATTTCACGCACCACATTTTTGCACTGCTTAGCATGTTCTGAAATGTTATAGTAGGTAATGGAAGACACTCTCCTGGGAGGAAGTAGCAAATCTGCAGGCCTTCACTGCTTCATTGGCAAGAAAATCTGGGGCAGAAAAGATGTTTTTATCGCCTGGACGTTTTGTGTTTCCTTCACATGTATCCAGCAAAATGAGAAGACCAGGAGTCAAAGAGCCAGCTGCGTGTTTGGGTGGCTGAACTGTTTTGACATGCACAAGAGGCAGTGACGTCTAATGACTACCAGGTGTCTATGTTTGTAGTGCCCCCTCCCAGCTCTTTCTCCATCGCCCTCCAAAAACACTGTGAAGTCTTCTCCACATTGCTGTTTGATGTGAATAATGAGAAGATGTGTACGCTCACCTCTCTCCCCTTTGGTGCAAGTCTTCCCATCGTCTTCTAGGAAATAGCCTTTCTCACACTCACACCTAAAGCTTCCCGCGGTGTTGATGCAGATCTGAGAGCAGGCGCTCATGTTTTTGTCAGCACATTCATCAATGTCTGTGTGTTGAAGTGTAAGAATGGAGTTAGCCAGCAAATGAAAAGAAAATGTTGACTAAAATACGTCCACTCAACGTGCTTGCATTCAGCAAAACAAAATGCTATGAAAATACGTTACTTTAACTTTGCAACTTAGATTTTTTTTTAAGTATTGAAATTTAGGGAAGAGTGTTTGAATAGAGTAGGAATTTCTGAACTTTAAGGCATATAAAAAAATCCAACTCAGGGGATTTCAAAGCATTTGAAACAGTAACATATTTCCCGATTTGTAATGTTTTTCATGCAAAACTAAGCAAATATTGGACAGATAACACCAAATAAATTTATTAACACTCAGTTGATGTTTAATATTAGGCAACTTCATATTTTGTTACAGTGAAGCAATGTTTTTAAAGACATTCTTTATTCTTGAGATAAGAAAACAAATCCTTACAATCACAAAGTAAAAAAGTTGGATGTGATACAAAATCCTCCATAAGAAATTGGATAGCAAAAAAAAAAAAAAAAAATCCAAAGATCTAGTCATGCCTTATCGACTACTACAGTGTCACTCTCCTGCTGTTACAATTACATATTTTAAGAGCTGTTAAACCCCACATTAGGGTCAATCTCCCTGCACTGCTAAATTTGACCAGATTGTTTATCTCCAAAAATGCCTCAAGAAGGATGCATTATAAACCACAGTGCAAAGTGTTCACTCATTTAGACAATAATGAGACCTATTACAGAATCATGCACATTGATTTTAGCTCTGCATTTAACACCAAAATTCCCTAGACACTAATGGCTTCAGAACATCCTGACTAAAAGACAGGCAGTTTGTATTACAGTATCAGTGAGTGTTGAATGGTTGGTTTATTGCTGTTNATCAAACATCAACCTTTATTATTTTTGCTATGCATAGTTAGATCTTACCCAGACAGTAGGGCTTCTCCCGGTTTCTGTGGCGTTCACGGTCATAACGGTAACCCAAGTAACAAGTACACACTACGCGGCCAAAATGGTCTGTGCACTGCTGCTCACAGGGGGCGCCAGCACACACATCATAATCTAGAATGAAAGGATGATAGGATGACAAAATACAGCTTTATTACAACTTTAAAGCAAGTAACAGAAGATACTGAAAATGATCAGACACTAATAAACCCAAAAACCTAGGATATGTTTGGCAGGATCCTGAAAAGTGACATCCAAACTGTTTTTCCTACCTTCAGGAATGCACTGGCCCATTACAAACTTGAAGCCCTTGCAGCATTTCCTCCTGTAAGATATCAAATTTGCTTTACTGGAAATATTTACAAAGAGAAATATGACCAGACAGTAAAGACAAGCACTATCACACCGGAGCCTGATGGTTCCATTCAAGTTTCTGCTGGCTTTCATGTGTTTATGTTTTGTAATTTTTTAATCTCAGAGATTAAAGAAGAAATGAAACAACCTTTAGTATTTTCAGCCTAAAACTCCAGGCCCTTGGTGCTGAGATGAGACTATTAAAATATCCTTGTAAGCTTCTGCATTAAGAGCTCTGTGTTGTGAATGCCTGATCAAAGACAGAGCAAACACATGCAGAGAATTTTAAGTAAATTCTCTGCTTAAAAAAAGGGGGGGGGAGGGGATCAATTGTGTGTCAGATCTCCTTATTTGACAAGGAGCTCAGCAGGTAGTCGTGTTAAGAACAGAGCTTTTTTTTAAATCCTGTTACATGTTACAGAAATTACACATACCATACTGTGAAAACATACCGAGATTGACAGCTTGTTTAGTTTGGCACAGTGGTTGCCACCGATTAAATTTTGAGCAGGCATAACACCAACTCTAGAAATAAAACTGTCGTCAATCATGACAAATTAGCAGATCCAATTACTTGTCAGCTGATGAGCTGACATTTCCAGGTGAGTAATTATGTTTCATTTAATTGAGCAATTGTAGAATGACAATGAATAATTATTGTGGCCTAAAGGACCTTTTCCTTGAGCGAGAAGGCATGCAGTTGAAATCTGAACCTATATTGATCCTTATATATACAAAGCTGTGAGCACCAATGATGATATTCTTGAAGGTTACAACAAAGTGTAAAAGAAGATTAAGCTTGAGTTGAAAGAGTGAGCAGCTTTGAGGGTTTTAGGTCTTTATGCTCTTGTGCTCCTTTACCAGCCTGGATTGGCAATATCCTCCTGCACTTTGAGAAAGGAAGTGATTCAATCAAAATAATTAATTAGGACTTCCTTCAAATCTGCCCATATTATTGCGTATACTTATACATTTTCTTGCATTACAATGATTTATGCTTATTTATTTGTGGTTACAGCTGACTGTGTTGAGTGATAATAGTTATTTTTCCTCCATTAGGAAATCATAGCCAGGAGAGACCAAAATGAGGATTTGTTGGTGCATTTTCCAGTCACTGGGCTGTAATGTATCATTAAAATGCCCCAGTGTTGGGGGCATTTTATGTGAAATGATCAATTGTCAATCTGCTCTTAGATTAAATTTGTTTGTTGCTGAGTCGCATGATGCACTGCTTTTTAAGATATTTTGGCCTACTTTTGTTTAGGGGATTGTTCATACCTGGGTGTGGTTTGATAAATACAATGAAAAAGGTAGTTAATCATTTAATTTTTGGTTTTTGAAAAGTGGTTTGATTGGTGTGGATAGATTATGCACCTTAACCATCTGAAACTAATGTTTATATTTGCTCTCTTTGTCTTTTTTCATGATATTAGCATTTGTTTGAAACATTTTCATTGAAATGAAATGAAATGAAATTTTATTCGAACATGATACAAATATAAAAATAAAATAGTGCACAGTAACAAGAAGTGCATAAAAAAGATGAGAAAATACAGATTTTTTGTTTCAGTTAACATATCATGCTCAAAATGGGGTAGGAAGAAGTGAGAACTTATAAACTCCTACCCCCTAAACACTTGAAACTTTAGAGTCCTACTGTCATTAAAAAAATCAAAATCAAAGTGGCAGTCAGAAGTAACAGTTACTAATATTTACCTATACATTTTCCCATTTTATGCTGGTTTGTCTTTCTAAACCCTTACACCAAGTTATCTGCAATACACACCTTATTGCTTTCTGTCACCCGTATGTGTATCTATTGAAAATTACCTCTTTGTACTTTCTTTTGAATTGTGTTAAACTATTGCTTTGTTTTAAATCTTTATGTAATTTGTTCCATAACTTTACACCTTTAATTGAAATACAGAAGCTTTTTCTTGTTGTTCTAAAATTGCGGATTGGACATATCAAACATAGAAACAACATATACGGAAATTTTTTACTTTGTCGAATACTTTACTTACCATTAGTTCTTTCCATTAAATCATTTATTGCAGTATTTATCGCCATGAGTCATATCATCAGGAACTTCAATAATTTTGTTTGAACTCAGTCCAGCAGAAAAGTGCTAACAGGTGCTGCTTTAACACATCATGAAAGAATCCAATCGACCTCTGAAGTCATCACTAATCATCACTATTAAAGTGCAGTGATAGTCTTTGAATAAACTGTAAATACTAAACAGCTTTATTTAACAGCACTAATGAAAATAGCACCATTCATTAAGATTTTACAACAAGAAGACATTTAAATGTCATTAAATTACTGCGATTCTGCAGAGTAGCTGCAGGAATAAAGGTGGTGGAGCTGTTATTTAACAAATACAAGTGTCGATATGACAGTATGAGTGGAGGTTGTGTACTGCTACTTTTTAATTTCAAAAGGTGAAAATTGTCGAAGTTCACTCACACCCACACGTGCTTGCAGATGACTGCAGCATAGACAAAGTCACATAGCATCATATAAATAATTGAACAGTCACTTTAATTGAAAGACATAATGCTCCATAAGAGTAAGTAAGACAGAATATGTAATTTGTAGGGAAGATAATTAGACCAGCCAAAGTGCTGAGTGCTCCGATGCCCAGTGACATCACTGTAGCCAAAACTTTCAATAGCTTTTAAATTTCACCTTTACACCCCTGGAGTTTCATTAGCTTTTCATGTTCTGTGTTTAATGTTATTATTGCTCAGCATATAGCAGTAAGAAAGTATTATACATGTGGACCACAAGCCAGAGTTGACTTTGAATGTGTGACCCACTCTTTCTAGGTCAGCATCATCCCCCTGAGGACTGAATGCACTTTTAGCAAATAATCAACTTAGCAAAAACAAACAAGGTTAGCTTAAAAATCAAGATGAAAACAAACATCTATATCCGCTTCCAAAAGATCACAAAAGAGACAAAAGCATCCCAGGGAAATTGGATCCAAATCTGTGGGGGAAGTACATTTTTGTCGGACTTTGCGTTTATTACATTATTACTCAGATAAATAGTATCTTTGATATGTTCTTACAGCATTGTGCTGTTTCTCAATAGATCACTACAAAGACAACTTTAAATTGGCTTGATTACTTTGCAAGTTACAGAACTTTTTTAATGCAATAATAGCACTATCTTTTAATTTTATTAGGCTGGATCTTTTTATTGGCAATAACTGATTTAATTTTAAATCACTATTACCCTTTGGCTAACCTTCTGCACATATATGACACACACACATATGTCTAAATTAAACAGAAATGAGACAGTAGCAACATGACCTGTACATGATAGTAAAACAACAGCATGATTAAAACTGGTGTGAAGGTCAGTGCATCAAGCAACTAATTAAACACTAGTGCACCCTGAAAAAATATACTTTATACATTACAGAAAGACCACAAAACAAGAAACTTGTCAAGTTAGCAAAATTATGAAGCTAATTTTTTTAGCCTAAAATTATTTTAGCCTAAACCAAAAGGTCTTTAATTAGCAGAGAGTCTGTATACAATTTGATTTCAACATAGATACAGCTTCAAATGCCTCAAAGGTTTGTTAGAGGACAAAACAAATGAATAAAGACAGCACAAAGTTATGCAGAAGTTAATCAACCAATCATCCAAAAACAAAAAGAGAATGGCCCCACTGCACTGCCACTACATAAAACATTTCTATTAAAAAAATAGAAATTTGCTGTCTTCATGTCACAAAATTTAAAATATTTACCAGTATCAATATGTTTGCAGTCAATGAACTAAACATCACACCGGGGGGTTAAAATTGAGAAACATTTCATGTCAGAACCACAACAACAAAAGCAGAAAACAAAAAATACAAACAAACAAAAAAATAAAAATAAAGAAACCAAACTGTAATATCCAGAGCTTCTGAACCTTTGCAAACAATAGCTAAAAATAAAATCCTGTTTAATCATCTACTTCATGTTAATGAGCAAACAAACTCAAAACACATGTGGTTTTCATTGATATTCATAAGTTAAAGAACAAGAGGGAAAGATTTCCCAAATGCCTTCATGACACTTTTCTCCAAGAATATCAATGAGCCGCATGTTTGCAAGGTCACACATCCGCACGCTCAGGAAGGGCACGTTGTGACTGACATTTACTTTCAGACAGAAAGCCCTGCACTTGTTCAGTGTTCGGAACATCACAGAAAATCTGTTTATTTTGCCACCTGTGCCTTTTCTCACCCTAAAGGTTATTTCATTTTGCCAGTGATACGGATCACTTTACACCAGCCGCTTGAAATCTAGACATAAGCTAGTCTGACCTCAGTCGCCTGGGGTGAAGCATAAGCACTTTAATCACCTTATAAACAGAGGCTCTGCTCTGAAACAACACGATGAACCAGCCTGGCCCCAGTTTGTCTTAACCAGAACTTGATAATTCCTGCTGACACACAACTCAAAGTGGTGGAGTCCACTGAATTTATTTAAAGCAGAAATCAGATCAGGATGAAAAGGTTCAGAACCAATTTGGACAAGCATGTTCTTATTTCTAACAATTACATGTCTAAAAGATTTCACACACATAAACACAGCTGTGAGACAACACAAGCAATCCACATAGAGGCTTATTTGTGTGACCATTTATACACAAAAACATGTCTGCATTCCACACATCAGACAATGTTTTTTGTAGCTTCAAACAACTGTTTCCACCAAATCAATGTTTTTACACTGGATCTAAAAGGAAACTCTATAAAGTACTTAGGAAATTATTTTTTTCTGTAACAAATAGTGTTTTCAACTTGAATGAATTGAGTTTTATAGAGTTGGTTAAACAAAAACTCTCTATATAGAGTCCTCTTATTTTCTGATATGTATCAATCAAAATATCAACAACCAATTTTGTCACCATCACAGAATTTCAAAAGTAAAGAAAGAAATGATTTTACCTCATAAGAAATGCTACACAGTAGAAAAATACATTGGATGGATGGGTAGATTGACATACATATTATGATTATTAAGTCCAAATATTATGTGTTGATAGAAATAAAAAATATGGCTTTGTTAAAGCTAATTATAATTGTAGTCAATAAAA